AGTTAATAGAATGAAATGTTGTGACTATCCTCGCGGTTCCAAAAGCTGAAAAACATGTAACTCAGCTCGCTTTAGACTAATTAAATTTTCATAGTAATAAATCCACTCGAATTTACCGCTCTACTTCAATATCCGAGTGCGGCCATATTGGTCAACCGTCTTAGATGAAACCCCCACCACCGATATGCTCTCTCCAGTCCTCCATGGCAATAGCTAATTCGGAACGATTTTCTGAGCACTTCACGCGCTTCAAGCGCAAATCGGAACGCACCCTAGGACTCTATTTTGAACCACTGCGCATCCTTGGGAATGATTCACCTGTTTTCTTACACCATGGGTTCATGTATCATGTCTGATCACTGCATTTACCATGCGGCATATTTAGCTATCTAATACTAAGCCAAGCCATTGCGAGCGTGGCGATCGACTTTCGTTTCCTTCGTTTGTTTAATATGGAGCTTACTCTTCTCTTTTCTATGTTCTGTGCTGCATAGTAAGATCAAAGGATACTTTGATAATTTTTAATTTATCTTCTCCCGCTACCCCGCGTTGTGACGTGTGTGTGCGAAATCATCGATGACTGCGATTAATCGCAATCGGTGATATTTTCGACTGTGTAGTTTCGTTCACGACGATCGGTAAGTGGTACACGTACAGAAATCGTTTCTCCAGCTGTGACCGTTACTCTTTTAGGTTAGGACGCGACAGTTAGAGAATGCGTATTGCATTGGAAAATCATCGAGTGAAAGTGCTTGTTGCCGGGAATTCTGATGAAGCAAAGGGCTGACAACGTTATATTCTCGAGCGCTTTCAAACGGATGATATGCTAGAAAATGTTCTGTGAGAAACTTCTACGGAAGTATTGGCGGTTTCTCCGTGATTGATTCCCTAGCATCAACGTTTCTCGGACAAAAGAAAATGTTAAAAGTAGGATCCACAGGTTGGTGTTATCTTAAAGTTTTTATATTACTACGTAAAGAATTCAACAAAAAGGATAGACTGAAGTGATTTATGTTTGCCTAAAGATCCTAAAAGTCTATCTTATTGATTGTATTTTACACAAATTATAGGAGGGAAAAATTTGAATTTAAAGTTTTTATTTAAAAAAAGCAGATTGTTTTTTGTACACTTTCATCTATATAAAACAATCGTTAGATAAAATATCTAGAAAAAATTGAATATAATAAATTTCATACAGATCAAACTTGGCAATGCATTTGCGATAAGTATCAAAGTAAAAAAAGTAAATAATTATCAATAGAATGGGCCAGTGAGCCTTGCACGGAATTTAGTGCCAGATATAATGTAGTGTATTTAACATAAAATTAATTTACAAATCCAAACTTTTCGATTCCACGGTTGAACTATCTTCAGTGGATGAATACAAAAAATCGTCAATAAATTACATAAGAGATTGTTCACTATAATCCAGTTAAATAGATGAGCTTGGGCATAAATTTTGTTTATGTGTCCCATAAGTAGAAATGTTAAGGGTGGAATCGTTTATTATAAATAATTAGGTTGTAAAAAATAAAGATATAAAGTACCACATCACGATCAAGACGAATTGACTGAAATGAATGTAACAAAACGTTTGGGTTTGTTAATTAGTTTTATGTTAAATATGCTACATATATCTGGCACTAAATTCCGTGCAAGGCTCTCTGGCCCTTTCTATTGATACTTATTTAATTTTTTATTATATGAGCCATCAGGATACTCAAATAAAAAAAGTTCTAAGATATATAAATATATATATATATCTTAGAACTTTTTTTATTTGAGTATTCTGATGGCTCATATAATAAAAAATTAACTTATCATATACTGATCGAAATTTACGAAGATCATGCTCCATCGAATGGAACACATAAAATATATATATATATATATATATATATAAGGTATATATATATGGTATATATATGTACCATGTAGGTATATATATATATATATATATA